GAGTGAGAGAGAACGGACAGCAGGATGGATAGAGCACAGCACAGTTACTGCAGCATCAGGAGGTGGGGCACAGTGGACACAACTAGGAGAGGAGCTGCAATGTTTCTGACAGATGACACATCCTTGAGGCGACTGACATCCCAGTTACCCCAACTAGATCGATACACCTCGTAGGCCTAAACCAAAACATCACATGTACCCCGCAAATAACAAAACTATTATATACCCATAATATTAAAAATGAAAAATTTAAGAAAAAAGAAATATTAAAAATATGTGAATGTCTGGTATGTATCTTGATAAGTTTCTGTGTGTATATAAAACAAGTTTGTTTAAAACCACACAGTTTTGCCTGCTCTATAAAACTACGTAAGTCTGTGACACTGCAGTACAGGCTCATTACAGAGTGGCTCTGAGTGACATAGACAGTGCTCAGACGGGAGGGCCCAGGAGTAGAGAGGAGGACATCCCACAGGGGCTGAACTGACACACAGCACTAGGCATGTGCCCTCAACTGCCAAGGTCACTGCTGACTCGGGACACATTTACACAGCTAAGTGAGCAGCTGGTCACAGAGGCCTGCAGTGGAAGGTGAGGGATGCTTCTCATGTCACAGGTGAACTACAGGAGCGGAGCCTCCAGCTGGGAAGATGAGAATTGGGGAGGGTTAGGCAGAGGAGAAACAAGACTGAGCTGACATTTTATTTTTATTTTTTTTTAATTTTGATTTCAATTGGTTTTCAATCTTCTTAGTTTGAAGTTTTATTTTATTTTATTTTTTTCTTTCTATTTATTTTTATTGAGACAGAGTCTCACTTTGTGGCCCTCGGTAGAGTACCGTGACATCACAGCTCACAGCAACCTCCAAATCTTGGGCTTAAGTGATTCTCTTGCCTCAGCCTCAGAATGCCCAGCTTTTTTGTTTTTTTTTTCTTTTCTTTGGTAGAGACAGGGGTCTCACTCTGGCTCATGCTGGTCTTGAACCTCTGAGTTCAGGGCAATCCACCTGCCTCAGCCTCCCAGGGTGCTAGGATTACAAGCCTGAGCCACCACATCTGGCTGAAGCTGACATTTAAAATAAGCTTCATCTATCAGAGGACTCCAGGGCTATTTCTTACAGGGAAGAAACTACCTGAGCAGGGAGCAAAATCAAGCCAAAAAACCTACAAAGTCTTCACTGGAGAGTGTCGGAAAAGAGAGCTCCAAATGGGCTTAGATTCTTTACTTCCCATATGCATTTTTTTTTTTTTTTGAGACAGAGTCTCACTATGTCAACCCCATGTAGAGAACTGTGATGTCATAGCTCACAGCAACCTCAGACTCCAGGGCTTAAGCAATCCCCTTGCCTCAGCCTCCCAAGCAGCTGAGACTACAGGCACCGGCCATAATGTCCGGCTATTTTTAGAGACAAAGTCAAGCTCTGGCTCATGCTGGTCTCAAACTGCTGAGCTCAGGCAATCCACCCGCCTCGGCTTCCCAGAGTGCTGGCATTACAAGCTCGAGCCACCAAGCCCGGAACATCTGTATCTTTTCTAAATAGTGAACACAGGTATCTCCATCTATCAGCCCTGTTTTTTTTTTTTTAATAAACATAGACTAAATAAGAAAAATCCCTGACAGCAAAAATAAACAAATGAGACTTAAACTAAAAAGCTTCCCTATAGCTAAGGAGATAACAATCAAAGCAAACAGACAACCTACACAATGGGAAAAGACATTTGCATATTTTAAATGGACAAAAACTTGATAATTAGGGTCTATAAATTAATCGACATTAAAAAAGCCAACAATCTGGCGGTGCCTGTGGCTCAAGGAGTAGGGCACTGGCCCCATATACTGGGGGTGGTGGGTTCAAACCTGGCCCCTCCCCAAACAAACAAAAGCCAACAATCCCTTATAGCAATGGGCAAGAGAGATGAATAGAACCTTCTCTAAAGACAACAGAGAAATAGCTAATAAACATATGAAAAACTCATTGTTCCTAATTATTAGAGAAATGCAAATCAAAACTACCCTGAGATACCATCTAACCCCAGTGAGAATGGCCCACATCACAAAATCTCAAAACTACAGATGCTGGTGTGAATGTGGAGAGGAGGGAACACGTTTACACTGCTGGTGGGACTGCAAACTAATAGAACCTTTTTGGAAGGAAGTATGGAGAATCCTCAAAGAACTCAAACTAGACCTCCCATTTGATCCTGCAATATTACTGGGCATCTACCCAGAAGGAAAAAAATCCTTTTACCATAAGGACACTTGTACTAGACTGTTTATTGCAGCTCAATTTACAATCACCAAAATGTGGAAGCAGCCTAAATGCCCACCAACCCAGGAATGGATTAACAAGATTATACCACGAAATACTATTCAGACATTAAAAAAGATGGAGACTTTACAGCCTTTGTATTAATCTGGATGGAAGTGGAACACATTATTCTTAGTAAAGCATCACAAGAATGGAGAAGCATGAATCCTATGTACTCAACTCTGATATGAGGACAATTAATGATCTAGTACAGTGGGGGGTGGGGGACTGGGAGAGGGAAGAGAGGGAAGGAGGGGGGTGGGGGTCAAGGTGTATGGCACACCTTTTGGGGGCAGGACACAATCATACAAGGGTCTTTCTTTATCTAACAAATGCAATCAATGTAACCTGGTTCTTTGTACCCTTAATGAATCCCCAACAATAAAAAGAAAAAAAGAAAAGAAAAATCCTTATCTATCTTAATAAAGCTTCGTGTTCCCCATCCCCCTTATGTAGGGAAGTTCACTAAATATTGCTACTTTCAAATGCCAGTTATTGCTCTATTTCTGTTATGTGACTGTTGTGGCTGCTGCCGCCACCTCCCCACAGATTATCCAATCTGAAAAATGGTATCAAACTGGGCTTATTAATTCACCTTTCTGTATTTTATTAATCAAAGACAAAAAAGAAAACAGTGGCCAGAAATCCTGACTTGCATAAAACCCACTGTTGAAAAAATAAAAAAACCCCACTGTTGACTCAACAAATGCAAATATTCTCAACCAGAACCTAAGACATTGAAGATTCTTAGCTTATGCAGGTATATCAAGGGAAAATCTATACTCTTTTTGTTTTGAAATGACAAAATTATAGAAATACAGACCCAAGTGGCATGGGCCGAGGAGGGTGGACACAGCTAACTGCGGGGACAGGACACGGTGCGCGTGGACAGCACTGGGGGCAGCACTGCTCGTGGCACAGCACCACAACTTTGCAAGACGCTACAGGGTGGGGGGTCTCCCTGCATTATTTCTTACAACTGCCTGTAAGTCTATAATTATCTCAAAATAAAACCTTTAATTAAGCATTCTTAATGCAAATGCACTGACTCAGAAATCAAGTGTCCAATAAAATCTGCACTTGACACTGACCCACGCCTGCAGAAACAGGACTCGAGTCCACCGACGTGGTGCTCTGCAAGCCCTGTACTTTGGTTTTCATCACAATCTGTGGCCTAGTCCTTTGTCACATTTCATTCATATTGATGTAGAAACTAGAAGAATTTGCACTCCCCAGGTGCACAGGGCCATCTGTGGGAGCCTTGCAGGAGCAGGTCCAGGCAGGGAGGGGGCTGGGGACAGTGCAGGTTGCGGCTCCACCCCACACCCACTGAACCAACCCAGGGCTGCTGAGACCCCAACGTCTATCATCAGCCAAGCTAGGGGACAGATGGATGACATGCAACGTGACAGCTAGCAGACACTGCTCTGTCATTTCCAAACACCTACGAGTCGACCCAAAAATAAGACACTGTCTTATATTTATTTTTTCTCAAGAAGACACGCTGGCTCAGCGCCTATGGCTCAAGTGGCTAAGGCACCAGCCACAGACACCTAAGGTGGTGGGTTTGAATCCAGCCCAGGCCCGCCAAACAACAATGACGGCTGCAACCAAAAAATAGCCAGGCGTTGTGGCGGGTGCCTGTGGTCCCAGCTACTTGGGAGGCTGAGGCAGGAGACTCGCTTGAGCCCAGGAGTTGGAGGTTGCTGTGAGCTATGATGCCATAGCACTCTACCCAGGGGGACAGCTTAAGGCTCTGTCTCAAAAAAAGAAAACAAAGAAGAAGACACAGTAGGGCTTATTTTCAGGGGATGTCTTATTTTTATTAAATATAATACAACAATCTACATTTATTTAAATACAGTTAAGTCATCTTCTTCTGGAACCTGACTGGGGGAGCCGACCTTGTTGGTGGGGCTGGCGCTAGTGATGCGTGAATTCCTTTCCCCTAGCCATTTACATGTGCGTAATAGGATGCCTGCGACTCCAATTACCACATGCACACCCACTCACGTGCAAATGGCTCAGAGAAAGGAGCTATGGCAGATAAAAGGTATTCCAGTCTTCCTTACCGCTCCACGCCGAAATGCATGTCGTGGCTATGCAGATATACTAGGTCCTATTATCAAGGTAGGGCTTATATTTAACAAATGCTAGGGCTTATTTTTTGGGTAGGTCTTATTTTCGGGGAAACACGGTGCTACTCATGAGTGCTACACAAAAATATTCTTCTCAGCAGTTCATGACTTCACAGTATTATCATAATTAGTGAAAACATTGTGCCTCACTAAGAATGACAGAAGTACAGGTCAACCAAGGAAGCGAAAAAGGCACCTGATTAGAAAGGTCATGTAGCGCAGCCAGACAACTCCAGTTACCACACTTGAAGGAGCTTCATCACTTCAGAATCAGCCACTTTTCTCATTTGGAGTCTTTAATAAGACATGTTAATTTCCAGTTCACTACACAGTCAAATTTTGACTTTTCAATAAAATTCAAAAAAAATACATTTATATGTCTAAATACCAACTTGTAAATGTTTTACACCTGGCCAATTATCTGTAATAATAGAGGTTAAAAAATAATAAAATAATTCATGTAAAATGGAATTCTCTTCATTAGCAATTGCTTTTTATACTCAGAACAGGAACTGAACATCACTTCACTTCCTGGTGTGAACTTTTCTGCAGACATGTTTGTGTTGTAGCTCCTGACCAGAGGTCAGATTTAAGCGGCCAACCAGCAACATAGTGTCAGCAGCCTGCCCCTCCTCGCCCCTCAACAGTCCAAAGTTTGGAAAGAATAAATCATTTTAAATTTGCAATTAAAAATTAAGGTTTTATAACTCACTGATTTTTAAAATAATTTCCTCGTACAGTTACTTTTTATTTTGTTTCCTACCACTGCATTTTAACGTCTTTTCCAATAAAATTATATTTAAAAATAAATTAATTTTCTTTGAAGTAGAATTATCATTTCTTCTATAATTGAGCCATTTTCAAATTTTAAATTAAGATTAATTATGAACTTACAAAAACATATTTGTTCCCCACTTTGTGCTATCAGGGATGTAACTTTGCCCATTAAACATGAACTACCGAACAATACAAGTTAAGCAAACTTTGCTAAGACCACCTTTCTTTGTTTGAGAACCATTTTCTTTTATGGATCTTTCACGTTGTTTCCTTTTAGTTCCTTAGAGAGATTCTCTAAGATTTTTGTGTGCTGTATACAAAAGCCAAATACAGAATAATCCTGGACACTGAGTGTGCTCTGTGTGTGCAAGATAAAGGACGTGCCCTCACTTCTCTGCCCCTGACTACAAGCAGCCTTGGCCTGTGACATGGGACCTGAGGGCAGGAAATAATAAACACGGCCAGGCCACCCTAAAGCCGTCGTGCTTCTGCATCCAAAATCAAACACTCCAGCCATTTATGTCCTAGATGATGTCATAAGATGACATTACAGGACCCCCGTGTACATCATAAGACGGCTGCTTTGGTTCTAACTATAATTTTTAAATGCATGACTTATCTTTAATATTTAGAAGGTTACTAATGTTGTGACTGACAGGTATTGAGTAACACGTAAGAACACGGACATGTGCATTAACTATCTCAACCACGCTCAGGAAAGAGTGCTGCTAAGCAGCACACAGCATGCTTTGTTCCTGGTGCCAGACACGCCGGTCACAGAGAGAAGCCTGTTCCTAGCTAGGCGCCAGCCGGCCCGTGGGCAGCAAGACTAAGTAACCCTAGGAATGTGGCAGCTGTGCTGGGGGTGGGGGAGCCAGGAGAAAGCCCCACTTTCCAAGGGCCTGCGACTGGAGCTGCCTGCACTCTGCCCCACAGAGGAGACACTATGTTACAGAAGCTACCTGCCCTTAGAAGGTCTGATTTCTCCAGCACCGGGCTGTGACAGTCTTGCTTTAGATGTCAAAATCTTCACCATTTTTCTCACAGTGAGTTTGGACAGTGGACGGGACTGTCAGAGACAGGGTGCTGCTGGAGAGAGACGCAAAGCACGGAGAAGAGCTCGGCTCCTCAAGTCTGCAGCACACCCTGCTGTCCTTACTGCCGGGGACGACCCACAGACATCCTCCGAATCCACATCAACTAGGGACAGATTTTTATAGCCAACTACCACAACTCTGATACAAGCTTTATTATAAAGATTCATTTTAATTAGTCACAACTTATCACTATGATTTTTCTAACTGAACTCTAAAAAGGTTTTCAGCATGTCAGCTCAAGGCATCATATAAAAATATACATCCTGGAGCTTCCAGACAGCTGACATGAGGAGGCTCCTGGAGGGGCACAAGGAGTGTGCACACCCCCCCCTCATCTGTCCGCCTGTATCCTCTCTTAATATCCGTGAAACAAACCTCTGCACACGGCATATCTACTGGGAGGAATTCACCTAAGACCTGAGTGATTAAAGGCAAGAAACATCCCACCACATACGGACACCTTGAATATAACATAATCCTCTTAATAAAGCTTATTTTCAAAACTAAATATTGTACAGCCATTTGAAAAGTTTTGTAAGGCTAACATTATTGATGGGGGAAAAGTTTACGACATAGCAAAGGGGAAAAAAGTTCACGCTACATGACTTATACATGAACTTATTTCTGTGAGAATATTAAATGTGTGCATGTGTGTGTACATACACAAATGTATAGATACATATATAAAAAGGTTAAACATACTTCTGTTTGGGTAGTGGAATTAAAGGTTTGACTTTTTAAAAATTTATTGTTAATATTTTTCTGTATTGTCTGAATTTTCATTTTTCTCCTTTTTACATTTAACACACTACTTTTTTTATCAGGAAAAAAGTCACTTCAATTTTTTAAAAAATCAGAATATATACTTAGGAAAGAACAAATTAATAGAGTTTACGAAGACCGTTTTCCGAAAGGGTCTTTCAACTCCTGCCCCAGACACTTGCCTGAGAGGTGATGTTGAGCGTGACGGTGTCCAGGCTCCCAGACAGCATGCCCTGTGCATCGGCCAGCGTCAGCGTGACACTGGCATCGCCTCCCACACCCGACGAAGACATGACCAGGTTCTGAGTGGAGATGGCCGACGGAGACATCGGTGTTGACGAAGGGAGGCCTCCGCTTGTAGTGTTAAGTTCTACAAAAGAGACAAAATAAGCAGGTCAGTGGGAAGCCAGAGGCATCAAATTCTCGGGGCAAGGGAAGAATGGTCTCCACAAAGGAGTGAGTCTTGACATTGCCTGTGCTTGGGAAACTGCATCAAGGCAGTCACAGAGTCCTTCATCTGAATCTCACCATAAGGCTCTTTTAGTTTTTAAGTGTCTTTAGGCATGAGTACACTCTGCTTTTTAACAACAAAAAAGAGAAAACCAGTGAAAGAATGAAAATGAAAACATGACTCTACAGCCCTAGCCGCTGCTACCACTGCAGAATGAGAACCCAGACAAGAATTCCGGGATGTGGTCCCTACCCTGGACAAAGAGACAGCTGGAGAAAGAAACCAAACACGGTCCGCAGGGCAATGGCATATTCTCGATGGCAGTGGGTGGCACTGGCATCTTAGCTCACTTTCTCACTCCCATCGCCTTTCCTTGACCACTTACGTGGAAAGGCAAAATCAAATCAAAGCAAAATAAAATCCTCATGAAATCCTTTAAATCATAATTTATCTAGCAATACATCTTACTGTTTTTTCGGAAAAAAACAACGAAACTTTTAAATATTTCCTTTTCCCCTGGTAGCTAATAATAAGAGAAAGGAAGACATCCAGGACAGAATCTGGCAAAGAAAAGCCTTTTCTTGTATGAACAGACTCTCACATGCCCTACTGGCCAATGAGATGGACTTAGAAGGGGACTGCCAACGCCTTGCAGGAGGCACCAACAAAAGCCACTTCTAAAGCCTTTATAAATGTAATCAACAGCACGCATGCACACACAGGCATACACACTTTGTTCTCACTATCTATCTACTTGTTCATCTAATATACACAATGGCTGTCTGGAAAGTCTCTAGCCATGTGTGTCCACTTTTCAGGCTGCTTGGTTAGACACCTTCCAGATAGCCTTCCAGACAGCCCTCGAGTGCCGTCCACGTGCCTCAGCCTGGTCAGCTGCCTTCCAGACAGCCCTCGAGTGCTGTCCACGTGCCTCAGCCTGGTCAGC